CAATATTTATTGGCCTGACTAGTTTGTGTTTTCATATTACTTAATGAATTGAACCATTTAGATTCAATAAACTTAAATTAAAAATATATTAATGCTCATGGGACAAAATTAAAATAAAGTATTTTAAAACATTTACTGGTTTTAGATTGCCAGGTACCAAATTGTTCATCTGGAAGATGAATATCTGTAGATTGTAGCAAAAATCTCAATAAGATGGAAATTTAAAACACCTCTGCTATACTATAGGCTTTGTATATTTGATAGTGTTAAAGTTTATTATTCTTATTCTTCCTCTCTGCTCATCATATTAGGTTCATTGGTGATGGAGAAATAATAAATTATAAAATCATTCCAAAAGAACTTGGCATAACTTTCAGATCAGTTGCATCAAAATAAATTAAAATTTAATGATGCATTGCTTATGTCTGCCAAGCATTCTGCAAATATGTTAAGCAGGAAAAAATAAGAGTAGTGATGTGGGGTTTTTCAGAGTCGTAGTAATACCCAAATATGTACCTTGTGCTTACTTTAACTTTTCCCCACATTTCTAAAATGTAATATTAAATATTGAAACAATTTCCACAATCAGAATATGCTCCCTTTAAACTCAAGTTTATTTTGCTTGAATGCTCTGGTGTGTGGGGGGTGGAGGCAGGGATGTGCACATTGGCTTTTAGCATGCTTGTATTAGATAATAGGAACTAAGACAGACTTTTAATGTGAAGCTTTACCTTTAACTGGCTGGGAGCTAAGCCGTGTTAACTGCTGTGGTTGTTGGTTTCAGTGGCTTTAATCTCCTCTAGTGTCCTTTTATTTGACTTTTTGTCTTTTCCATTGTCCTTGGTTTTCCTAGAATGTCCTTAAGTAGAGTCTGAGCCTTGCAGAATGTTCTGCTGTATTCCTGTTATTATTTGGTAGCCCTGTGCTGTGTTGGTGTTGGGGGAGAAAAGCATTCTGTAAACCTACAATGAGGTTCCAGTCATTCAGTGGATCTGTGACTGTCTGCTATGATTTTCTCAGCTTTGCACCCCAGACAGAAGGCTAGAGGTGGCTAGACTTGTGTAATTTTCCTTTTTCACATTGGATAAGGCTCTAGAGAAGTCTTCTCTCTTTCTGTGTAGGTCTTTTTTTAGTGGAGAACATTCTGGATTTCTTTCAAAATGGTTACCTTTCCCTTGGGTACACTGCAAAATGGTTACTTTTTCTCTCCCCTAGTCATACAAAAAGTGATTGTTCTCTGATTCTCAACTGGAGACCTTAGTAGGAGGTCTGTAAATAAAAACCCTGTAAATAAAATAGACCCCTGTAAATAAAAAACCATCAAGATATGTGGTCCTTCCCCAAGCTGGGCACCTAGGAGTTTTCACCTGTCAAGCTTATCCACCCTCAGCTTGCAATAATTCACTGAAGTTTGTTCAGATGATCCAGCGACTTCTGCTTCAGGTAATTGATCTGTATTCCCTGAATTCATGTGTCTCTCCAGTTTTCAGAGCGGCAGCTGGTCCTGTGACCTCAATTCCCTGGTGGGTTTTTAGAAAATGTTTTTTCAGTTTGTTTGGCTTTTTGTTGTTGTTGTTGTTGCAAGGGTAGAAATGATAACGTGTAAAGTACTTTACACATTGGAGGAGAAACAGAAACCTAAAGGTGATTTGTAAAGTAACTTAAAAAGTATTTATTTATGAAAAATCTTGGAATAAAATATGTATTCAAGGAAGGATGGTAAATATGGTCTAGAAATTTTAGTATTTCCTGCCACTTGTCTTATTATCATGAGAGTACCTGCTATCTGGTATCCAGGGTGTTCGGAGTTAAATTAATATGAATTATAATAAATGATGATCTAGAAACATTATATGTGTATCAACAGCTTACTTGGGTTTACTTTTGAGCAAGAGGCTGCTTTCTGGTTGAATCCAGAGACATCTGCCTTTGGATCTTTCAGTTTTATATGTGACCTTTGAGTCATATATTTACTTACAGAAAAGAGGAAAAAATAAGGTATTAACAATCTTATAATTCATAATGAAAAATACAAAAGGATCCCCAGAACAGCCATAAGAAAAACTCTAGGTGTAATGTTTTCTAAAAATATATAATTATAATAAATATGAATAATGTGCTATGCTTGGGACCATTGTTTTCCAAAACAGAGAAACATCTAAGCAATTCCAGAGGAAGATAAAATTTTTCATGAATACCAGAAATACAAATGCTTAATGGATCAAAAGTAAACAGAAACAAAATCAAGTATCGTCTACTGTAAAAAACATCAATTATAGCTTACAGATACCTTTTCCTAAAATTCAAATCCATAAATTTGCTTTAAGAGTTCAGAATTAATGATGACTTTCAAGTGATAATTATTTTCATATGTGATTTTCTGTGGAAAATAATGAATATTTCTAACACCTACTAAGAGCGTCTATCAAGTAAATTATTTCAGTTAAATGTTATCTTTCGTAGGCTAAGTTATAAACCAAAGGAACATGGGTGTATTGCTGAAAAATATACAAAGCAACTACTCTTAAGCTAATATTCTGATTTATTAATAAACTGATTTTTTTTTTTTTTTTTTGAGACGGAGTCTCGCTCTGTCACCTAGGCCTGAGTACAGAGGTGCGATCTCAGCTCACTGCAACCTCTGCCTCCTGGGTTTAAGTGATTCTCCTGCCTCAGCCTCCTGAGTAGCTGGGACCACAGGCATGCGCCATCATGCCCAGCTAACTTTTGTATTTTTAGTAGAGACAGGGTTTTACCATGTTGGCTAGACTGGCCTTGAACTCCTGACCTCAAGTGATTCACCTGCCTCAGCCTCTGAAAGTGCTGGGATTACAGGCATGACCACAATAAACTATAAAATTTTATATTAAAACTATCATTTTAATCTCCACCTACAATATTAAAAAATTCTACTTTATTTTCTATAAATATATTCTATTAGGAAATTTTCATTTACTTGGCAAACATAATATTTCTAATATAATTCTTAACAGTTAAAGGTTCAATTTTCTTGTAAGAAAAACAAAAGTAAAAAATGGTTATTTTCTAATGCAAAAAAGCAATACCTATAAAAATGTTTTAAAACTACTGTGCTCCCACAACAAAGATGCCCAAAAATAAAATCAGTATTCCATTTTTAATTCTAAAGTGTCCTATTTGTATTATAAAATATGTTAAGGTTTATCCTCAAAGGTAAATTATTTTGAAAAAGAGGGCTTTTTTTGTATTACATAGCAAAATTAACATTAATTTGTAAACAAATTGTGGTTATACAATGTGTCTTAAATGTATATTCTAAATCTAGTCAAAGCAGGGTAAAGAGCAAACAAATAGTATATCTTTTTTTCATTTTTTTCCTTTTTCTTTTCTTCTTTTTCCCATGATTTGTAGGAATTGGATCAGGAAGTCTGTGAGTAATTTAGAACTTTAATGATCTCTTTGTATATGTTTATCAAAAAGCCTTATTCCAAATTTCTCTTTGGAATTGTCTCTGGGGTGTATTTGATTTTAGGTCAAAGGATATCTCCACTCTCTTGAATTTTCACCAACTAGTAAGTAACAGAGTAATAAAATCCCTTAGGAATATCTTTCATCAAGGATCAAAGTTACAGATAAGTTGGGATAGAGAAAACAAAACTCTGAAACCCAGCATAAATGGACAAGATACATGGTGCATAAAGAAGTTCATTTCCCTGATCATTAGTGATGTTGAGCATTTTTTCATATGTTTGTTAGCCATTTGTGTATCTTCTTTTGAGTATTGTCTATTCATGTTCTTTGACCACTTTTTGATAAGATTGTTTGTTGTTTTCTTACTGATTTGTTTGAGTTTGTTGTAGATTCTGTTGTCCTAGTTCGTTTGTCAGATGTATAGATTGTGAAGATTTTCTCCAACTGCAAATCAAAACCACAATGCAATACCAACTGACTCCTGCAGGAATGGCCATGATCAAAACATCAAAAAACAGTAGATGTTGGCATGGACTCAGTGATCATTCCTACACTGCTGGTGGGGATGAAAACTTGTATAGCTGCTGTGGAAAACAGTGTGGTGATTCCTTAATAAACTAAAAATGGAACTATCATTTGATTCAGCAATTCCACTACTGGGTATCTATCCAGAGGAAAAGAAGCTATTGTTCAAAAAAGATACTTGCACATGCACGTTTATGGCAGCACAATTCACAATTGCAAAATGGTGGAAGCAACTCAAATGCCCATCAATCAACAAGTGGATAAAACAACTGTGGTATATATAGATATGATGGAATACTACTCAGCCAGAAAAAGGAATGAATTAACAGCATTTGCAAAGACCTGGATGAGATTGGAGACTATCATGCTAAGTACTGTATAGTAACTCGGGAATGAAAAACTAAACATTGTATGTTCTCACTGATATGTGGGAGCTAAGCTATGAGAACACAAAGGAATAAGAATGATACAATGGACTTTGGGGACTTGGGGGAAAGGGTGGGACGGGGCAAAGGATTAAAGACAACATATATGATGCAGTGTATACTGCTGCAGTGATAGGTGCACCAGGATTTCACAAATCACCACTAAAGATTTTACTTATGTAACCAAATATTACCTGTACCCCAATAAGTTATGGAAAAATACAATAAAATAATAATAAGTTCAAACTGAGAAAAGTAGCAAGTAATGCAAACAGGAAAACTAAAGTTTGCCTAAATAATTACATACCTCTCACTATGAATATTAGCAGACTCCTTGCTAATTTCTCTTTGCTTTAAAACAATTAGTTGTGCAATAATTTAACATGGATAATTCTGATACGTAATCCCAGAGAAAGCAGTATTTTTGTATACAATTAAGAGTATATTTCTTGAAAGACAAAGGGAAGTATAGAACCTCCTTCTAATATTGTCTTGATGACATTCAAATCAAAATATGAATATGGAGATCTTAGGAATTTAAGATAATTAGTTATTAGTAAATAGGTAAAGGAATTAGCTTTGATCTTTGGTAATAATAAGATCTCAGTGATATTAATTGTCCCATATTGCAGTGTGTAAAATAATTAGAAACAGGCCAGGAAGAATGGCTCATGCCTGTAATCCCAGCACTTTGGGAGGCCAAGACAGGCAGATCATGAGGTCAAGAGATCAAGACCATTCTGGCCAACATGGCGAAACCCTGTCTCTACTAAAAGTACAAAAATTAGCTGGGCATGGTGGCACTTGCTTGTAGTCCCAGCTACTCGAGAAGCTGAAGCAGTTTGAACCTTGGGTACGGAGGTTGCAGTGAGCCGACATCAAGCCACTGCACTCCAGCCTGGGTGGCTGAGCGAGACTCTAACTCAAAAAAAAAAAAAAAAAAATTAGAAACAAATCCAGAAATATAATTCACAGATAGTTTTTTAAACATTCAGAATTTAAACATATGCAGTAAAAGAAAAACATTGGAGAATCAATTTCACTGTTTCTATATCCAAGCCATGAACAGCAAACTTATCTTCATTTTGGATGCTTACGTCAAAAGGAATAGATATCACACTACAAATTAACATTCCAGATTATCTGAGTTATCCTGAGAATATCAATTCCAGGAACTGCTTAGGATACAATAAGAGTTCTCCATTTTTCTTTTGAAAGAAAATTCTTTTGCATTTTTTTCAATATGCATCTGTAAGTGATAAATATGATAGTTAATTATTATGTGTAGTTACAGCTAGGCCTTGGCACCTAACTTTTGATCAAACCAAGTCTAGATATTGCTGTGAAGATATTTTCTAGATATGACTAACATTTAAGAATTTGCGCAAAGCATATTACCCTCTATAATAAGGCAGGCCTTGTTCAATCAGTTGAATGCCCTAAGAAAAAAAGACCGAGGCTCCTTGGGGGAGAAGCAATTCTGCTACAAGACTGCCTCTGGACTCGTGCTGCAACATCAGCTCTTCCCTGGGTCCCAGGCCTGCCAGCCTGCCCTGAACATTTTGAACTTGCTAGCCCTCACAACCACATGAGCCAATTCCAGTCACAACACCCCAGAACAGAAACTCAGGAACTGAAACCTCCTCAGGATCCAGCCATGGCACGGTGGAACCGAAACGTTAAGTGATGAATTAATTGCTGAAAGCTCAGTGTGGTCAACTCTGAAAGCTAAAAAACCAAGGTGCATCCAGTCATACAGGACACCACACACTTTTGTGAGCCTTAGCTCTGGGATCTCAACCTAGTTATCGCAGTGAATACTGGAGAAAAATCCCCTCATGTTTTCAGCAGAAGAAAAAGGAATCATTTAAAATGTGCTAGAGCTTATGGAAGAGCAGTTTCTGTTCTTCTTTGCTGGTCTACCCTCATGAGAATCTATTTAAGCAGAACCTAACCTGCTAGAGTCCCATCGAGCTTTCCATCTGTGAGAAAGGAAATACTCATCACCAGCCAACTCTCACCATCCTGCTGCATGTAAGGAGTCGGGAAGGGATTGAGAAGCATGTGTGAATGTCAGCGTCCTGAGGAACTGTAACAGTGAAACAGCAGAAGAACAAACTTAACTAACTCCAATTTTGTTTAAGGGGCCTTTACGCATACCTGCATATAGGATACGATAATTTTAGAGCACTGAGAATATGCAAAAGGAGCGATCATGCTGTTTTTTAAACAAACTCTGGAACTAAAGGAGAATAATGTCAACAACTATGTTTTATTCAAATATATAAGAGCATAATTGTGATCTGACCAAGGACAAAGTAGTTCCCTACCTCTCAGTCTCTCTCTGGCTCCCTGATATCTGTGGTCATTGGTTATCTCTTGATGCCAACCCCCTTTTCATCCCATTTCCCTTAACGTAAAGGATGTCTGAAATTTGTGCAACCTGAGAGAAGAGTTTAGGATTTTAATCCACAATCTTCATGGTTTCCTGACTCTCTGAATAATTCTGCCTTTTCTCCCACTAACTCTCATCTGCTGTGTTCAGCATTGGAGCAGCAAGCAGCCAAGCCTAGATTTGGTTACAAATTCGTTTACAATTGTGTGCCTAGGGTGGTCCAGCCTGCCTGGTTTTAAAGGAAGGAGCAATTGGCCACTGGCAGCATGCCAGGACTTCACTCTACTGAGGATAACAAAAGCCACTCCTGAGTACAAGCTGCTGGTGGCTGACTGACCCTTCAGCCAGGATTTCAGGGGTATCCCAGCAACTGCTACGAATGTATCTGTCTCGGGGATTCTCCTTTCCCCCTTCTCAGCATCAGCTGCCTGCAAGGCTCAGTTGGTGTGAAGAAAAACAGTATCTGAGAGTCAACGGACTTCAGCACTTGGGTAAGTCAAACCAGTAGCACACTGTGAATTTTCTGTCTGTTTTATTTGAGTTTCTGTGCCATTTGGACTTTGGGTCATTTGTGGTAATGCTTGGTCTGATGTAAGATTCTTAATGTCTTCTCTTCAGTCTCCCCTTTACTTTAGGAGTGCTGTGTTTGTTTCAGTAAATTTTAAATTGTTTAAAAACATGGAAAAGTTCAAAGACATGCCAGATTTTCTCGGACTCCATTAGATTAAATATTATGGCCTATTTGTACACATTTTAAAACTAATGAGCAAATTACAGTAAATAAAATTCAGAGCTCAAATGGTTAATCTGCAACTGTAGACTTTAGTAGGGTCTTCTAAAAGTCTATTTCTCACTTCTTTCTGCCTACTTAGAATCTGCATTTATTAAGCTACTGGTGTTGAAATAAAAATCACTTATTCAAAGTTACTTGGAGATTTTGGTTTTCTTAGATAGTTCAGCCAGTTCTAGCTAAAATGTAAGACATTGGAAATTTATTTAAAAGTTAAAAGAGAAAGGTAAAAAGACATTTTTAAAATCAAAAGTGCCATGAAAACTGTTTTACCCAAAATTTTCATCCACAACCTTTGTTGGATTACCTATCAGGAAAACAAAGTTTAGCCATGTGGACAGGTCCTGATTTTTTTCAGAAATAATTTGAATCTAGCCATCTTTTGTAGGCTGGTGAGTCTGTGATGCTGTATATGTGCATGTACTATGGTAGGGCTTGTGTTTAGAACACTACCAAATTGGTTTCTAAGTAAATGAATACTTGTAAATTAAGTCCAAAAGCCTATCAAGTTCATGTGAATTTAGTAATCATTAGTAAGTAAGAATTACTTTTAAATTATTGGTAAAATAAAAATGTCTTCAGAATTGTAAGCATATGTGTTTATCTGGGTTTGCTGATTGATTGTTTTATATTTGCCTCTGCTAAATATTTTTAAATGTTCGTTTGGCACAAAGGTTGTAAGATTATAAATCTAGCCAAAAATAGAAAACCTTTGTGTGTGTGTTTTCTTTTATTCCTCTCTTTGCTGATAAATAAAGCTAATTTAAGATTGTTTTTCAATGAAAACAGCTGAATCTTCTGAGCTATCAGCAAAATGCTCAGGTATTTAACTTTAAGGTTCACATTCAGGTGAACTTTTGATGCTCACAGGCTTTATAAATGGTTAACAGGAAAATAAGTTTAAATGATGACTAGCTTTGTCTAGTATCTCAGTTTTGAAAAATAATCTAGATAAGCTATGAAAAATAAGAACAATTGAGTACATGTAAATGGGATAAATTCTTTTAAGTGAAGTTTCTGTGTAATTTAAAATCTGAAAATTATTTTGAATTGAATAATAGATGCTCATTGGATGTCTGCAGCATTTCCAATTTAGAGAGGGTTATGATATGGGGAAGTGTGTTTCTAAAAATTATGTCTTGGTTTTATTTAAACAATGGTAGCATCTGACAGTTCAGCATTTCTTGCTTCCTAGTTTTCACTAACATTTAATTCAGTAGGAATAAGAATTCTAGTTAATATGTAATTCTGTAAGTTGTGTTCTAATTAAGAAAAAAAAAATTTAAGTAGAAGTTTACTTAAAAGGTACTTATAAAAGAAGGTAGAAAGGAACCATTAGTTACAAGACACTGATGTGAAGAACTCCTATACCCACGGGACTTCAAAAGACTTAGAGCCAATTTCAGTGTTCTAGTGTAGATAAGAATGGAGTTGGCCAGGCACACATTACTGTTTAGAACCCTTTTAAGTAAAGTAAGAGCAAAACCAGAAGCCAAAAAAATAAAGGTGACAAAATGACTTGTTTATAAATTCCATGTGTTGGATGTTTAGACATCTGTGGGTCTGTCTATGATTTGGAGGTGTGAATTAATTTTCACTCTCAAAACCAGTTCTTGCAGTCTTATATGCCCAATCCCTTCCATAATGGTTCCTGGGATCAAAGGAAGGTCCCCTGGTTCCTTTCTTCACATCGCTGTCCTGTACTCACTGGTTCCTTTCTACTTTCTTTGATAAACAATCTTTAAATAACCTTCTATCTTTTTCACCAAAAGGAAAATATATTTTGGTAAAAAAACTTATAAAGAAAAGATAATAATTTTGCATGAGGAAAAAAATTTATCTGGTGAATTTCTGTCCTAAAGTAAAATGACTGGTTATTTAGAAAAGAAGAAAGTCTAGGACAAAACAGTAAGTTCAATCATGTCATAGATGGTCCCTGTAATTCATGACAAGATTCACCAAAAAAAAAAAAAAAAAAAAAAAAAAAAACTAATGAAAGGAGTTTTGCATATGATTAAGTTGGTTGTAATTAAAAGGAAATTATTTACATAGTTTTTCTAAGAATAGTCCCCTAAGTTAAAACAATATTTTCTTAATGTATTGCTTTGCTCTTAATGGAATCCCAAGGGATTTTGATTCTTAATTCTATAACCTGTTTCTTTTGAAAAACTTCTCAGATTCATATCTCACAAGTTCAACTTTTGTTGTGTTTCACTGCTTTCGGCTTTTTCTCCCCTTGAGGCCTGAGATGATAACTGTGTTCTTCAGCTTTTTTGTCAGCTCCTGAAACATTTTTCTTCCAGTTTTCATTGCTGTTGTGGCCTGATGCTGAAATTTGTATCTTGAAGATCTAGAAAAGCAATGGTTTCCCCCACTGTAACTTGATTATGTACTTTGGCATCTCTGGATATTTCTAAATTTTTCTT